TTCGGTGAATTTTCTGGGTATAGATTGTCCTGCTCCAGAAATCTGGGAACAAAATCTGGCTTCTCGGGGTTTCGTTGAACTTCGGACGTTTCGCGTTTTATTGTCAAAATCCGGTCATCGTAGCTTTGTTCCAAAAGATAGTGCTCGAAGTATTTAAAGTTGTTCGTATTGATTGCAGTTTTTGAATCCAAAATAGCCAAAAATTCAAAATTTTTTGCAATTTCTTTAATTTTTGGGTAAAATTGTTTGATTATTACCGCCCATGGATTGAAAAAGTTCCCGGACTCCACAAAAACTGTGTTTTTATCTTGTTTGTCGATGACGCTGCTCATCTGAATAAAGAGCACACAAGGCGTGAAAGGACGAAGTTGAAATTTGGTTTCGTTTCGGTAATAAAACCCTTCGGTTTTGTGCACCAGAATCACGAAACAAATTGTACTTCGTATCGGTTTATCATTGTCTTTGTCAATAACTTCTGACCAGATAGGCTCCGCTAGCACAGTCACTTTTTCGGCTTCAGGACGCCTGTAGTTCTTTTCGGCTTCAAGTGCAGCTTCGTTGTTTTCTTTGACGTTGTCATGGTGCTCATACTGGTGGACCACGAAGTGCAATAAGAATAAAACGGTTACAATTAGCAGAATGATCACAGGGCGGGTACAAAAACGTTCTGCGTAGATCTTCATCAGTCTTAATGATCGCATACGTTATACATACGATAGATCAAATGGCAAACAAAACACTTTTTCAAATATAACTTACAACACGAAAATGTAACAAAACATCAAGATTAACTTTTTGTAAAAATTATATAAATTGAATTTTTGTATCAGTTTGTTTTAGCTCCAGTGTAACTAACCATAGTTTGATGCATTGTGTGGATAGAGAGCAGTAACAATGCGATCTACCATTAAAAAATATAATAATACTTAGACCAAGACCAGATCGCAGCTTACTTCTGACATGTTTTAGCGCGCTTTAAGTCTAACAAATTTGGCTAATTTTGCATCAGCAACGAAGCGAAGCACGTTTCAGTCTCTCAATCGTAAAAAGCTTTCTCTCTTCTTCTACAGAAAAAACGCAAAACATCAAGTAAATTATGAATAGCAACCAACCAACAAATAAAAAATAGAATTTTCAGACGCAAGAAAAATAAAGCAATGTATTAAAGCGGCCGGTATTTTGGTTTTAAAATAACGATGACAGGAAAGCCTATATATAAATTTCCCTTAAATTGCTTCTTAAACAAAACGTTTCAGGACAACGATTGGCTTTCAATTAAAAATAGGGGATCTTTTTGTTTTACCGTCCGAAATTACCCAACTGTTAAATGAGATTCTCTTGCTAATAATAATTCTTTTTCGCTGGAACTAATTTCAACCATCGGATTCGAGCTTTATGGCCTAAATTTCAAAATTTTTAAGATATCAATTTTGGGCAGTATAACAGAAAAGACTCATCAAAATAAGAAATTGGAGTTTTCTCATGTATCATAAAAAGGAAGTTTTTTTGCCGGCTTTTTACCAATTGATCAGTAACCTGAATGACCCAAACGGCCAAACAAGGAAAACCTTTCGGCTGTTACGTTAGTTTTCAATTAAACCGTAACAGCAGCCGCACAGTGTCTAGTAATCTCTCCCTTCCTTCGATTGATTTAGTGGGATAAATTCCTTATCATTTAAGATTTTACATATTGAGTACAACAGAAAATGATCTACAATAATCGGACATAGATATCGAAACTTTAAGTTTTCAAGCGATGAACGGAACAACTTTTTCCACAATTTTTCTACACCTACAAGAGATTCACGGTTGAAACTTCGACCTGTTACAGATGGAACTGTTTTTCAGATGATAGTCGGGTTAAATACCGTAAAACATGTTTTCAAGGCGCCGTTTGGCCATTTAACCAGAGGGCGCCATAAGAGTATTCTAATTGCAAACAATCCCCATAAACAGAAAGAACAGTTTGAACTGCGAAAACCCTGGAGAAACAGTTTGAAAAAAATTTGAAAAAACTATAAAGATCTCAGCTAGATCCTCACAAAGGTTTCCTTTCACAAGAAAACAAACTAAAACTTTTATTAAAATCTAAAAGTTAGAAGTATGCGTTTTGTTGTGAGAATTCAGCAAATTATACTAGTAAAAACTTAAAATCTGAGTCAACGTTTGTTTTGCAGCTGAGTAGTTTTTGTTCCAAATTTCGAAGAAAGTCACGGAATAATTGTGGTCGCGATGGTTTTGTTTCTCTAAACAAATTTTGAGTTTTCAACTAGCCAGTTTCGATAAAAATTCTTTAACTCATTTGAAAGTTATTGCTGTTTTGAAAACATTTTTTACAAAGCATTTTATCTGTGATCAAATTTCGTAAAGTTATGGGGGTAGAAAACATACCAATTTAGCCAATTTAGGACAATTAACGCGCGATTGTTTCCGTGTTTTTAACCCCTAAGCCAAGATTTAATCTTTCATAGAAATCGTTCCAAAATAAATTGAGGCACGCTGTTTGATGTGTATAAAAATTTTTAATATACAAAATATATCACTTTGTTTTTCACATAGCGTGTGCGGGATAATTTTCAAAAAATCTCAAAAAAAGTTGATGGTTTTTCCTTTTTTTGATATTTTCATAATTTTATTTATAGCAAAGACTAATTCGTCGACCTCAAAATGTAGTCAAAACATTCAAAATTTTGCCCTGATTTGGGCAGTCTTGTTTCTTTTTTTTCCAAGTGAGGAACAACGTATGTGAGGGCCTAGATTAAATCTTTAGTTTTCCAACGAACACTTTTAAGTCCACAAACTCAAACTGCTTCTGCAGTTTACGCTAATTTGTTGCAATAAGATCACTTCTCTGTCGCCCTCTGATTAAATGGCAGAACAAGCTTTGAGAATGTATTTTCACTGTTTTTTATACTACCATCGTCTGAAAAACGGTTCCATCTATCATAGGTCCAAAGTTTCAACCTGTGAACCTTTATTAGTTCAATTATCTTCAATACCGATAAAAACAAAAACGAAAAATTTCAAAAATTAAAACAAAAAATTGTTTTTGAAGCGCGAATGAATCAAAATGATATTAAAAACAGGAAATCATTTAGTTACTTAGGAATAACAAAAAAGTTGTTATGATTTCAGTTTTGTTAATCATGTTTCCATTATCAGGAAAAGTTGAAAACTTTTTGCAGTTTCTTCGATCAAATAAGATAAGTTATCAATAAAAATCAGTTGATACATATATACAAAGTACTTGTGCAACCTATTATTCAATATGGAGCTTTTATCTAAGGTAATTCAACTAAATTTTTCATGAAATAACTGGAGAATGATCTGAAGAGATTATACAGAATAATTTTCGTTGAGCATGTAAAATCGACTTAATAAGATTAGCACAAGAAACAAAGAAAAAATATACATCTGCTAAACTTCAAATTTATGAGTTTGTTTACACAATATTAATATAATGCGAAAAAAGTAAAATATCAAAAGAAAAAAAAACTTGAAAAGTTTAGCGACTGATGCAAATTACAAAACAAAACACTAACTGCAATTTCTTTTTAATACTCAGTTGCGTATTTAACTATGAAATAATTTGGAAGGATGCTACCCAAAAATTGTGCAAAATAGCTTGATGAAAGAACTATCATCTAATTTGATTTTGAACAAGGGAGATCTATTGACCATAAAAAACCAGCTAAGAAATTAAAAATATCACCTCAACTTTTTTTCATAATAATTCCTCTTTTTTTTTACAAAAAGAACGCTCGTTTATTTCGGTAATTTTTGTGCATTTTGCTCAGTACAGAGGAAAATAAGAGTGAGATAATGGAGAAAACATTTCAATATTTGCGCTCAAAGAAGTCTGAGAACGGACCAGAAAGTCTCATGATTACCTTTCAGGCTAATAATTAATGGCTGTTAATGCAGTTTTAAAACAATCGTTACTGGTATACTAGCCTAATAACAGTTTATTATTTAATAGGAAGTTTAAGTGCAAGGAATCTACCTAAAACAAGGCCCATTTGTCGAGTAAGAGTATGTTATTTCATATTTAATCTGGTAAAATTTTTCATAAATGTTCTTCGAAATATACGTATTTAAAAAAAAGTTAGAAGCCTATATTTTTGGTCATTTTGCTTGGTTAGATTATATTGGCAAACGAAATTGACAAATCAAGCAACTTAAATTGAAATGAGGCCATTAAATTAGGTTAAATTACGCTGATTGGATAAGACATCATATCACTCTATATTTAACTTTGGCATGTGGGCAGTAGATAGACCAGTATTTTTTTTATTTTGATGTTTTAGGTTTCAATTTGGCGTTTGTTGAAACAAACTAAAGCCTATGGAGCTTGGATTTGTTGTTTAAAAAAAGCGTTTCAAAAAACGATCCGCAGGTTATTTGGTCTGAATTTTTGTCAAAATAAATCACGATTTCTAAAAAAAATAATAAAAATTCCCGATCATTTAATATTGGATTCAGAGGGTAAAGGGAGCCTCCGTTCACACTCAATAGTTTTTATCTGATTAAGATAATTCTGTAAGCCTAGTTTCGCTTTTCAGTCGTTTCGAAGCTGTAATGCAAATTGCACAGCAAACAAGTTTTTATTATCCAAGCGATTTCGTATTTACCTATTTCCTATTCGATTTGAAACGCGTTGTGAGTATGGAGCTATAAACCCATTGATTATTTCCTCAAAGTTCCGTTTTTAGACGCCTGTATTGGTTCTCAAAGCTCTGCACTAATTTTTCTAAACACTCAGATCTAATGCTGTTCAACACAATTTTGATGGTTATCGTGAATTTGCAAGCAAGTTCTCGAACGTCTTACCCATAGTCTTACAAAAACGATCGAAGACTCCAGAATCATTTAAACTTAGACCATTGCGCCCCTTTTTCACTGCAGATTTAAGAATACACTCTGAACATTTTCTTCGCCCTAAACTTATCATTCACTTGAAATATCCGTAGAAAAAAACCATGAAGTTTGCCCCTTATTAGGTGACCCCAACCAGCAATGGGGCCATATCTCTGACGGACGGCACGTACGGCAACATACGCGAGGATGTTGAGGTGGGATACCGCATCGACACACAGGCAGTGCTGGGATACTCGGACGCCTCAAACAATGAATACCCACACACGTGGACCATGTCAGGCACCGGATGTTAGTGTATCACATTTCAGAAAAATGAATATTTTTTTTTCTGATCTTGGACAGTTTTATTGTTGTTTGTTTCAAGATCAGATTTCACCAAGAAATTTTTGGTAAAAATAAATAATACCCAAATAACTCGGGAGCTACATGACATTGAAAAATTTCTCAATTATTGAGTTTGTTGCATTCCTAAATTAATTAGTAGGAGGAAAGAAAATTTTAGCACCAGAACGTTTATAAGTAATGCTAACATGGCCCAAATGATAAATTTATTTGATAACCATCTACTGTATTCCAGCAAACTACTGGGGAATTGACCCCCTGGAAGGCTACCTGTACAACATCTACCCTCTAGATTTCGAGGACCAGACCTCTTTCGCATTGGAGGTGATAGTGCAAAGAGCTGACGGGAGTGCGACTCCCCCGGCTGCCACTGCAACCATCACTATCAATGTGCTCAATGCCAATGACGAAGTGCCCACTTTCACACTGGCCAAATACAAATTCAAAGATCTCACCACAGCTACTGACACTACGCCAAGTAACACCACTCTTTCCTAGTTCTTCACTTTTCCTTTTGTTCCTGTTCCCACTGCGTTACTCTGGAGGTACTATGGCCTATTTGTCAAGTCTAGTATCATTACATATACCATTAGCCGTGTTTCGGATTCCAGGAGAAAATTTAAAAAAATTACTCAGACGACAAAAAACTAGCTTGATTGTTTTTTTTTTCGATTTTCAGACCAGTCAAGATTTCACTGGTAATTAGTCCTCACTATTCCCTGGTAGGATTGTCTTTTTCGAAACATTTCTTAAAAATGTCTCTGGAATGAGCTCAAATTTTATTGTTTTTCATTTTTCCTTTTTCTGTCTGAGTTAGTTTAATCGTTTCTATGAATTAGAAAAAAACTAAAAGAGGAGCTATTGAATTGTAAAATCAGTCAACTGAATTCAATTCTGCATTGCATACGGGATCCATGATTTGTGATAACGAGTTTTTGATAAAAGTTTTTTTTGTAGTCGGAAAATCTACTGCATTCTTTGTTGCTTGCTCAAGAAGACACCATTCGATAGACAGCAAACTGGCCTTTTTGGTGTTCTCCCAAGATGGGTTTTTTAAAATTTTAATGAGTTCTGCACATAATAATCGAGTCTGTTACCTTAATGAAAACAAAGATACTAAAAGATGAGCTAAAATTAAAGTTTCTTGGGTTTAAAATGAACTCAAACTGAAGTTTCATGCTTCTTATGCTTTGCTTCAGGTTTTTTTTTCTGTTTTTTTTTTCAATATGTTTTTGTTCCCAATTGTTGATCACCCTTTTTTGCATGAAAGGATAAGTATTTGAAATATAATTCCTAGTTGAGGTTTTTTGCTTAAAATGTGCCCGAAATAATCTGGCTCAATATTTGAAGGATTCAATGAAAGCAAATTTTTTTTCTCAGTTTTGTTTCGACTGATTGATTACTGCGTTCGAGGTCACAGATCTTGCTGATAATTTGCCATGAACAACATACGCAACTAAACAAGAATGGCTGCCCACTTTTAGCCTTACCGAAGAGCAAAGTGCTGGTTGAGGGTGCCTTGGCGGGAGACCTGGATACGTTCAGCGTGAATGACGCAGACGGGACCGAGAACCTAGTGGTGTCCATTGAGTCCGTCTACCCTGATGAAGATGTTGACATATTCGCCGTCTCCTGTACTCTCGTGACGCCCTGTGGCCCTGTGGGAACATACAAGATTGAGGTTTGAGTTTTTTTTCCATTCCACCTACAAATTTTACAAAATAATGTAAACAAATCTAGTGTGAGGCGGTTCTACAACTCGTTGCAAACGACAATTGGTCGCAGGCAATAACTTGTAACATATGAAAAAGCGACAATTGTCGCAGAGCAATGTTCCACATTAAATGTGTAACCAATTTGAAATAAATTGATCTAGCAATGCGCGGCAACCATCTCCTCAGTCTGTAAAGTCTGGAAAAATTATTTTACAGTTGCAGCAATCTGAAAATACCTATTTTCGCTCGCGATGGTCTGGAAATTACAAAAGTTTGGTCGCGTTATTTTAGCCCTATAGCTACATCCTCGACCAAATCAGATCCTTCCAGCTCGAATTTACTCAGTTTTCTACGGTGTTCTACAGTCAATTCGTCTAATTCAAGTTGATCTGGTCGCTCCAATTAGTGAACTGCTATCCTGTTTCTCTTGGAGTTTCTGCATTGAAGCAACACTCTCGCTTACGTTCACGCTTGAGCGGGAACATGGAATTTATACTTGCAGTAGCAGTGAAATTTTTAGTTTAGCTCATAGCTTCAATTCCTCGGTAATTTTAATAAAGAAGTTTTCACCCTAATTTAAATTGGCATGGATTTGCTAGCCGCAAAGTATACTTAAAGCTTTGCCTTTTATGGATTGTTTTTGAAAACTTTTGACAATTGCAAAAAAGAAGGCCTGTGAAGAGATGTTTACTGAATAAAATAGTATATTTTATTTTGTACTAGCTGCTGCGAGATGTGGAGTTGGACACTAGTGTGGCGACGAGACTGCTGTCGGACCACTACACAGTGACGATAGCAGTGACAGATGGGAAGTATGTGGTGAGGAGCTACTACTACGTCTCCATCACCCCCCTCAACGACAACACCCCCTCCATCACTGCAGCCCCAAGCGCAGTCAGGATCAGCGAGGCCACTCAGGTACTATCCTGCTTCTACATGACATTCCCCTTTTATCTTCTTCAACATTTTATTGAGTATCTTGAACTAGAAAAGATTTAAAAAAAAGACCAGTGAACTAGAACTGATAAATAGAGATAGAATCAGAAGGAGGAGTAGTTTTTATTAACTGGGGTGCGAATCAAAATGAGCGCTGAAAGTTTCTCCGAGCTTTTCATTTTTAGGTTGTCCGACTTCATTTTCCCATGTTTTCTAAAAAACTAAAAAGTACTCTATTTTATCACAATTTTCAGCACCACAACCAAACTCAAGGAAAGCGAGCCGCAAATTCTAGGGCGAACACCTTTTGGTTGCGAGAGGGTAGAATTCACGAGGGAAGGCATACAAGAACTGTACCTGTTGAATTAAAAAAGAATTGATAAGAAATTTTGATATACCAAACCATGTGTGTTGTGGCTCATTGGTAGTGATAGTGTCCTGATGATTGTTGGTAGTCACACGATTGCTGGCCTCTGGCCTATTGCTTTTGCTGACGATTGCAAACGATTGCACATGAGTAGTCACACGATTGCTGGCCTCTGGCCTATTGTTGGTCAACTAGAAAATATCTGTTTAAACGTGTTTTATCCGAACTGCAAGAAAACTATATATATTTTTTTACTTGCAGGTGGGTAGTTTCCTCACCCAGATGACAGCAACTGATGACGACGGAGTGGTACTGCAGTTTGACTTCAGCAGAGACAGTGTACAGTACACTCTCACAGAAGCAGCTTCTCTCACTCTACCCAGTGTCGGTAAGCGAAAACACCACTTAAGCATCTAATTCAGAAATTGATTTTCTTAATGTTTTAAGTCGACGCTAGAGGGCTCTCCTAAAATGCTTTAAAAAAGCTCCGGCTATTTTTACAAAAATTTCTGCAATGTTTGCACGTTTTTCCCCTTTCTAGCATTTGTGCTGTAGTATGATGTTTTTGTAATAAAAGGTAAGTTTCTCAACACTTAGAACATCATTCAAACAAAATTATTCGAAAATTAGAAACAAACCAGGAAGTTTTGAACTGCTTATTAACAGAAAGATTGCATCAACCGTCAATCTCTTTTCCTCAACACCAAAAAAAATCTACATCAATCCCAAAAATGTAAAAACTTTGAAAATTATTTTTGTATTCAACAAAAAAAATCAACAAACCTGATGCTGAGCTTACTTTTTGGATATATAATTTTGTTGATTAATTGATATTAAGTTATCCTCAAGGTTAATTTTTGAAAAATCTAATTAATTGATGACGAATTCGCTTCGGAGAGGAACTAGTACAGTAGATACTAAAAATTACTGACCTCTGAAATGATCTTAAAATTGAAACAAGACTGCTCGTATAACAGGGCAAAGCCCTGAATGTTCCGACTGTCCCTTAATTCATATCAAATAGTTTTGGGGAAAGAAACTTTTGGAAACATGCATTTTGGACAAGATCAAAGTGTGAAATGTCCAAAGAGTCGTTCAAAATTAAAACGACCAAATATCTAGCCTCAATTCGAACTGAATTGAGGCTAGATTGAACCTCAATTGTTTTGCCTATCCTGCAGTGTCGATAGAAAAGTTTTTTGGTTTTAATTGCTGAAAAAAAACTGAAGAAAAAAATGAAAAAATGTTGATTGTTACTTAAGTTTTTTTTAACAGTTTTATTCCTTGTTTTTATGCCCTCACACGCTATATAAGTTGACATATTTTGCTTCTGGTAACGTAATATTGAAATCAAATTGCTTGCCTCGACCTTATTTGGAATGATTAAACTTGCCGTTCACGCTTTATTCAGACAAAATATAGCGTGCGTTTATGATCCAATTTTGAATTATTGTGGTCAACGGGGCGTATCGATTAGCACGTTTGCTTATTGGTATGCTTTAATTGCTTCAACTTGGTGGTGCCTATTCAGACAAAAAACAAATTAGCCTAAAATTTCAAATAATTTCGTCGACCACTTGACCACTTAACCGTGGAGTTAAAGTTTTACTTTCGCCAAATTAGCACATAACGGCAAACTTGAGTAAGCAAAACGTGAAATAGTGAGTCTTCAAAATATAACGTTATAAATGGGCGTGCTAATCGACACGCATTCTATTTAGATCAGGGCCTTGCTAATTCCTATAACTTATGTTACAACAACTGGTCACAGGTGAATTTTTTTCTAATTTGAGCTTTGAATTCAATTTTGTTGCTTTGTTAGTAATTACAAAAGCAAAGCGTGTGTTATAAAATGAACTTTCTTTTTTCCAACCTAAGTCGCAAACATTGTTGCGACGCAAATAATGTTGCGACAAAATGTCATTACGAGGGCAAACTAAGCATTTGTTGTATTGTAAGCGGATTCCGCAACAAGGACGCTACCTTTATTTTTTTTTGTTCTTTACTTTCCTTTGATCCTTCCGACAAAATTTTAACATGTTCACAGACTTGTCTCTGGAATCCAGGAACATACAGACAGAAAATTGTGCGCCTATCCAGTGAACAGTTTGGCCTCGTAATGGTGTTCATTTCGAAAGAGTTCATTTTGACCAATAACCAGCTCCTAAGTACAGCCATTGTTAAGGATATTAACACAGACTATTAAATTACAAATAGCACTTCACTTAAGCTTCAAAGTATCGTGGATCTGTAGTGTAGAGGTAGGGAAGGAGACCAGCAACAAAATAAAAGAGTTCAAACCTGGGCAGGGTTAGATGTTTTTTAATGAGCTTTTTCGTTTACTAGCTAGAATGCTTCTGCTCTGTAAATTGAGGCATATTCGTTGGTAATTTTTTTTTTCAAATCGACTGGTACTGCTAGTGCGTCAAATTGGCTTACGTCACTCAAAAAAGTTTGTAGACTCAAAGTTTTACTCATTCAGTTTTTCGCAGTAACGCTATCGGTCATATTTTTGCTTGTATGCGAAGTGCACCTTTGCCTCTGTGTAATTATCATGGTTAGAAATTTCTATATAACTCTTACAGCCTTCAGAGATTCATTCTTGATTTCAACTATACAAAACGGAGCGAAATAAAACATTTGTTTGTATGCTCCGTTCGATGCAAAATGTTTCAACTTTTCGGCCGGTGACTTCAATTAACGGCTGGAACAGGCGCACTCGATAGATCTGCAAAAAAGGGGTTGTGAGAAACCAGTTATAAAGATTAGTATGTGCTGTGTTGTTACAGATGAGAGCTACTTTGTGGTTGACCCAATGACTGGATCCGTCTTCCTGGCCAAGCAGATTGACATAGATGGAGTGGCCAGTCCCCCTCAAACAGTCACGCTCAAGGTTACTATGCTTTTTGAATCCCAGATCTACGTATTTTTTTTTGGGGGGGAGGGGGGAAGGGAATGGTTTTTTATTACTAAGCAAATTCAGTGATCTGCTTTCATAAGTTTGGCCGCAGTAATACGTCCAGATTGCAGTTTTCAACAGAGCAGATTTCAACTCAAAAGCTGAGCTCACAGATTTTTGGTCAAATGGTGATGTAAAATTGAGCCATCACTTTCTCTTCGTTCCTCCTGAAGCATTTTTCAAATTTTGTGAGTTTAAGATTTTGTTTCTGAATGATGTAATTTTGCAGATTGATGCAGCTGACAACTATGGGGCTGGTAATGCGGCAATACAAGCGGTAGTCACAGTGGTCATAGACGAAGTGAATGACAACCCACCCGTCTGTGCAGGCATACCAGAATACACTTTCCTGGACTTAGTCGAGACCACAAGTATTGTTTTTTATCACTATTCCCACACCCTTTTGCGAGAAATTTGAAAACAAAACTTCGTCTCATACATTAGAAAGAACTGCTGATCTGCCCGGGCTTAAAACACTGAAACATTTTTTACAGAAAAATTTTCAAAGATGAGACCAATTAAATTTTGATAGCTCAAAAAAAGGTGCTGCGCACTATTTTTTTCAAAAGAAAGTTTGACCACGTATCGTACCTTTTTTTAGACATATGACATTGATACTGTTCATGATATCTTCTTGAAACAAATTGCATCAGAAACTGTTAATCAGATATTGGATACATGACCTATCAGTTTTCTGAAAAAAATAACACTGTGATTAAAAAGTTCACACGTTATTGTTCCGACTTTCGATACGAAAGTAACGGAATATTTGTGCTCGGGGTGGGTTTTTTTTTCGTCAGACAAATTTCGACTTTTTACCTAGCCATTTTTGACGGATTTTTTAAATATCATTCGAAAGGTATTGTTGTCCTGAGCTCAAATTTGAAAAGTTATTTCACCTGTGATCATTTTTCGTAAAATTACGGGGGTTTAAAGATTGCCATTTTGGCCAATTTGGGACAATTAACGCGCGATATATTTCGCGTTATTAACGCGTAAGCGGAGAGTTAATCCATCTTAGAAATCGTTCCAAATTGGTTAAAAGAAGCCTATTTGCCATAATTGGTTTGTTACAAGGAGCTAAATCTATCCTTTTGTACTTTATATGGCGTGTGGGGTGATGATTTTTTATAAAAATTTTCAAATTTTAGAATCTTTTTTTTCATTTTGTTTTATTTCATTGAATTTTTTTAATGTTATTACTGCTCCATAAACCTTAAAAGGCAGTCAGAACATTCAGGGCTTCACCCTGATACGAGCAGTTTTGTTCGAATTCGGGACTATACATAATTCCTTTTTTGCGAAATCAAGAATTGGTTGATTTTAAAACAATCAAATGCCACAATTTTTTTCAAAAAATAATCGTCTTCCTTTTGACTTGAAATCCTTCACAAAAAAATTAGGATTTGAAATATAAACAAGACTCGTATCAGGGCGAAGCCATGAATGTTCCGACTGCCTTTTAAGGTTTATGGAGCAGCAGTAATAACAATTAAAAAATTAAATGAAATAAAAAAAATGATTTTTTTTCTTCTAAAATTTGAAAATTTTAATGAAAATCATCTCCCCACATGCCATATTAAGTACAAAAAGAGAGATTTCGTTCCTTGTAACAAATCAATTATGACAAATAAGCTTCGTTAAACCAATTTGGAACGATTTATAAGACGGATTAAACCTCCGCTTACGCGTTAATAGCGCGAATTATATCGCGCGTTATTCGTCCCAAATTGGTCAAAATGGCCAAAATGGCAATCTTCAAACCCTCATAACTTTACGAAAAATGATCACAGGTGAAATATATTTTCAAATTTAAGCTCAGGACAACAATATCTTTTGAATGATATAAAAATTCCGTCAAAAATGGCTAGTTAAAAAGTCGAAATTTGTCTGAAGAAAAAAAAAACCCACCCCGAGCACAAATATTCCGTTACTTTCGTATCGAAAGTCGGAACAAAAACAACTTGTTGACTCATTGTATGTTAAAGATTACAAGGTGTTAATAGACATTTCGGTTTAAATTAGTACGCATGTTTAAACTTATTTGTTCTTCAATAATTGTTTAGGTTCTCTAGGGGTGCAACTTGTTGGGCTGCACAGCCCGTATAGCTACTCTTGATTCATATTACATTCTGGTTTTAATGTTGTCCTTTGTATTCAATTCAATATTACCAGTTTTTGCGGTTTTCCTACAGATCTGCCTTCGCGGATAGCTTAAAAAAGTATGTTTGGTTCCCGGATAGCCAAAAACTAATCAAAGAATGGCTTGAAAAATGATTAGTGACCAGGCAAATCCCGACCTGAATAGCTGAACCGAACTCTCAGCGCCGCGCAAATATTGATCAGGCACACTCCAACCGGTAAGTTCAATAAGTTTGCGACTATCCGGGAACAAAGTTGTTTTTCGCCAATCCAGGAATGCCATCCATTTATTCACAAGGAAAATGACCAACGTACGAGCTGTTCAACTCTTTTGGGAGAACTCCTGTTGTGTCCCTACTCAAGACACGTGCAGTTCTTTTGGTTAATTTTTGGGCTGAGAGCATTCCAAAAACGGATATGCATAAAAGTGTCAATTTTTGGCAATCATGTACTGTAATGAGAAACTTTTGCACCACTGCAGCTGTGACGACTTCTCTTGTGGACTTCTCCGTGTGTGACGATGTGGACTTCGGGGGTGGGCAGGCGTGGGCTGCGGAGATTGTGTCCGGGGCTGTTGGCACTGGGAGTGGAGACCAGTACTTCGCAATGGTGGCCAATGATCTACAGCTGGCACATCTGTGTAAGTTCTAGCTAGAGTTCTAAATATTGTTATTAACTATTTATTATTATCAATTAGTTAATAAACTAGACACATTATGGAATTCAAGAAGTTTGACAGATTTGGGTATGCCTTTGGTTCGCAAGGTAGTGGGCTAGGAGGTTTATAAAAAATGGCATACCATTTTAAGAGCCGAAAGTATTCGAAAAAGACAATAATGAATTGATCTTTTCAATTGACTACATGCCTCGGTTAGAAGTACCTCGGAAGTACCTCGCTTAAGAACCTCGGTTAGAAGTATTGTCCCGAAAAACTACTTTTGTTCCCATATAAAGTCATACAGAAAATTAGAAAGCGTTAGTTTTTAAGTTTTACCAGTGATAATTTGATTTGATAGAAAACTTTGGTGGTAAATCTAACAAAGAAAAGCTGCCAGTTTTTTTAATTTCATCCATTTGAAGTACTTCAAAGAGATTTCAAGTGTTCTGCCGGGACCAAACTTTCAAATGAGCTTTTGACTGGGACCATACTTATAAACGTGTACCTTTACAAAGACTAAAGATTGTTGCAGCTATGATTATTATCTTGAAACTTCAAATTACTTGAACCTGTTAAGAAAACCCCGCCGGAATGAAAGAAAACTTTAGTCAACTGTTTCAGTGGACTATGAGGGGGCAGAGCGGAACTTCGAGCTGGTGGTCAGAGTGTACGAGACAGACGAGGGACCTCTGGCCTCCCACGACCTCTACTTCACAGTCATAGTCACAGTTGTCCCTGCTCAGGATGGAAAACCAGTGTGGACCACCACCACCTACACCGCAACTGTGGCTAGTGATATTGCATTCGGATCCCTCGTCACTCCGAACCCGAGCAGCTTCGACTACACTGATCCGGACGGGTATCTGGCCACTGATCCGGATAACCCACACGCGTATGGATCCATGGCTGTTACTCAGTGTCAATGTGGTATGTTTACTATTGCTGTCTCTTTACAAAAACATTATATTTTTCAAAGTATAATTATATTGAAACGTTCCCTTGAAGCAAGTTACTACTAATTTAACATATTTCACTTTGCTAGTATTCCTGTTTGAGTCTAAATCAACCATCGTAAAACAAAAACAGAATCACCCGCCACATTTTTGATGACATTAAATTTACTAAAACTATTCGAAGTAACTCAATTTGTTTGGATAATATTTGGAGCTCTGAATTGAAGAAATTTTTCAGACGCGGTTGCCGTGACTCCTTGTCCCTTCATTCTGGATATCGAAGCCGAGGATGTCTACGTCATTGGATCCCTGATGACCTACGCCTCTTGTGATTTGATTCTGCAGTTGAGTGACAATGCCGGAGTGGTGAGTGACCCAGACGCCACTTTCACCATCACTGTCGACTCAGAGGGGCTACCAGCTTGTGATCCGGAGTCACTGCAGAAGACTATTGCTGAGACACAAGGTTCAAAAAAGTTTAAGTTTTTATCTGACTTAGAAGTGACGAGCACCAAATTTAGTGCAACTTTTTCAATTAGCCAGTGTAAAATAACGTGGAAACTGCGTCATCGCAAAACTCTGAACTTTGAGTTTGTAAAAGAATCATAAGAAGCTCTATAAGAAGTAAATTCTGCCTATTAACTATTAAAGTATTATTACATTCTAATTTTAAGTTAGAAACTCTAATATTAAAATCGATGTATTATTAAACTCTAATATTAAGTTAGATATTCTAATATTAATATCTATGTATTCTTGAATTGTAATATTCAATTCTTTAACCTGAAAACGAAGTGTGCAAAATTTCAAAATCAGTTGGCTGGGGAATATGTTTATTTTTCTAGCCGCAGCGACAGTTTTGATAACTGACCTGAACTGCGTTGACCCCGATGGTGACACTTTGACCTACACACTGACCCAAGGTGACCCGAACTTCGAGGTAGTATCGGGATCGGGCACCGGTCAACTCAAATCATCTGCCAATGCCGCTTTTGACTCATCAGTGAAGAGCTCTTACAACCTCGTTGTAACAGCCGAGGACGATGATGGAAACACAGCTGAAGTCTGGATCTTGGTCATTGTCACGAGTGTTAACGACGCAACTATAAACTGCACGGCGTTTCCGACTACTAATTTGTTCATCTCGGAGGCTACAAGTGTGAATACGATTCTGGGACAGATGTCCTGTCATGACCCGGACGGGGATGAAACTGCGAACGGACAACTGACTTATACAGTGACTGGGAGTAATGGCAAAATAGCAATTGACCCCAAAACAGGTGTATTTTTCCTGGCTGAGGCGGTCGATTTTGAAAATGCGGCTCTGACTAATCCCGTGACGGTGGATTTTGAAGTATCTGATGGCCCGGGAACTTCTATCATAGTACAGGTATGAAACACTTATTCATTTCAAGTCTAAAATGTATGCGTACTCTTCAAATGTTGCTACAAGGGTTTGATCATTTTAAGTCACAATCAAACACTTCATTGGGGTAGTAAATCTACAATTTTTGCGCTATTTACCACAAATATTTTCATTATGTAACTTGTTAAGTTGTTATGACGGCTCATCCACAAGGAAAGGGCCAGAATACGAGCTCTTCAGCTCTTCGCGTAAAATCGCTGTTGTGCTCCTGGTTAAGATCTACGTGCATTTTTTGGCTATTTTTCTGTGCTGGGTAATGTTGCCTCAATGCACCCTCAAGCAACCAGCACGGATCATGGTGGGCCTGATAAAATGAGTATTAGGTTGAGAAAATAGTTTAGCCCAAAGTAGTGCAATAGTATCCTGAGTTCATAAATGCTTTTTGTGAATGCATCAATAGCTTATCATACTTTACAATCAACAGCTGTTTTTCTAAATCTAGTTAATTAAATTGAATTAAAGGATTCTCTCAGGAGTTTAATACATACACAAACTTCTCATGTGTTCAGCGCGACATTGAATACACCAACGTTAATGACATCAAACCGACATGCACATTTGCTTACGACGCCACCAACGCGCCTCTAGGAATCATCGATGACGGAACCACCTCAGGAACCACCATTGGAGCCCTAACATGCCAAGATGGAGACGCAACTGCCGCTCTGAACCAAGTGATCACACTTTCATTCATCGGAAACACCGATTCCACTTTGTTCACACTCACACCCGCAACTTGTACTCTGATAAGCGCTGCGACTTGTTCGATTGACGTGGATCTAGCGAAAGACATTGACGTTGACGCTGAAGACGCCCAGTTCTCAATTCTAGAACTGCAAGTTTCAGACTCGAAATTGACAAATGTTTACAGTTTCCCGTATGTGACTAATGCTGTGAATGAATTCGCACCTGTGTTTGTGAATCTGCCAGGAGCTGTGTCTATTCCGGAGAACACGCCTATTGTGGGCGGGGCTGCGATATTCACCGTTGTCGCAACTGATGCCGATTCAGACGTCACGGGCGATGGGCAGGTACCATCTTTAAATATACAGCAGTTAATCTGGAGTGTTTATAAATCTTCGAGAATAGAAATTTGAAAACTTCAAAAGAACAATGGAAGAAATGTTTTTTGTACACTAACAAAATACAGTGGAAATTGAGAGATAATTCGTACCAAAAAGTCGTACCTGTTTACGAATTTATTTTAAAATAAACAACTAATGAAACATCCCCCACAGATCTAAAGGTATTACAATATTTTAGATCTACTTTGAACTGGACAGTGTGAACAACTACTTCGCAATAGACAGGCTGAGTGGGGAGGTGTTCCAGATAGCCCCCCTGGACTACGAGGAGCCCCTCACTTCAGTGGATGTGGTAGTGGTAGTTAAGGACGAGACTGGAGACAGGCCAGCCTATGCCACTGCCACTCTGGCTGTTACCATTGTCAATGTCAACGATGAAGCTCCAACCTGGGTGCCAGCATCTGTATGGTAGGAGAAAATTTATGTCCACATATTTATACTGTACATATAAATGCTAAGCGATTTGGCTCTTTCCTATCCTAAGATACAAAAATTAGCAAGGCTGAACTAACATTTAATGAAAACCAGTTTTATTTCTCAGAGCAAATAAAACATTATTATTTTTTTCATAAATTAAGTCGTGTAGCTCGAATCAAAAAGTGAAATTGAACTATTGATTATTCAAAAAGTGAAATTGCAGGGACTACTCGATGGCAGAAAACACGGCCACCAGCACTACTCTCGCTACTCTCTCGGCTACACCTAGCGACGACCTGTCGGCCGACCTGAGATACACAATCACTGAACAGTCTCCTCCAGACCCCACCTACTTCGAGATACTGGACAAGACCACAGGTATGTATGATGTAGTCATCACTCACGCTATCACTGCCGACTCTAATTATTACTCCCGGATCTGCAATGTCCAACACAATAGTCATTTTGGTGGGGCCGGTAGCTCACTAAGAGAAGCAAGACCGCTCAAATCAGGGCAAAGCCCTGAATGTTCCGATTGCCTTTTAAGTTCTATGGAGCAGCAATAACATGAAAAATTTAAATGTAACAAAACTAAATTTAAAAAAATGGAAAACTTTTGTAAAAACATCCTCCCACACGCCATATTAAGTCCAAAGTGATAAGTTTTGCTCCTATTAACAAATAAATTATGGCATAAAAGGTTCCTTTAACCAATTTGGAAAGGTTTTTAAAAAGGATTAAGTCTCCGCTTACGCGTAAGTAGCGCGAAATATATCGCGCGTTAATTGTCCCAAATCGGCCAAAATGGTTATCTTTAAACCCCCATAATTTTACAAAAAATGATCACAGGTGAGATGTCTTTTCAAATTTAGGCTCAAGACAACAATAGCTTTCGAATGATAAAAAAATTTGTCAAAATGTCTAGTTAGAAATTTGAAATTTGTCTGAAGAAAAAAACCCACCCCGAGCACAAATAATCCGTTGATTTCATTACGAAAGTCGGAACAATAAGGCACGGTCATATATCGTATCTTGTTTTTCCTAGTAATTTTAAGTAACGTTTTTAGTCTCATTTTATACCATAGATCTTTTCGATCTGCCTCAGAGTTAGAAAAGTAGTTATAAGGCATATAAATTTTAATGGGTGGATATAAAAGTAAAAAGGAGAGTATAAAAGTTTGAATAACTGTATCCTATAATTTGAGGGATTTATTTTACGTTATATACAAGTTAAAATGATAAAGCATGTGAAATGTTTCCTAACTCAATTCTGAAAACTTGAATTGAAACAAGAGTGCTCGTATCAGGGCGAAGCCCTGAATGTTCAGACAGCCTTTCAAGATTTATGGAGCAGTAATAACATTAAAAAATTTTATCAAATGAAACAAAATGAAAATTTTTTTTTCTAAAGTTTGAAATTTTTTTTTTAATAAAAATCATCCCCCCACACGCCATATAAAGTACAAAAGGATAGATTTCGCTCCTTGTAGCAAATCAATTAAGGCAAATAAGCTTCTTTAAACCAAATCGGTACGATTTCTAAGACGGATTTAATCTCGCGTTAAAAGATTGTAGTTAAGAAAAGGAGGTTGAATTAAAAGTTACGATAACAAACAAGCCTGCTCGTACCAGGGCGAAGACTTGAATCTTCTGACTGCTTTTTAAGGTCTATGGAGCAGTAACAACATGAAAAATTTAAAAATAAAAAAAAATTATAAAATTAAAAACAAAATTGAGAATTTTTGTAAAAAAACATCCCCCACACGCCATATTAACTCCAAAGTGATAAATTTTGCTCCTATTAATAAATCAATTATGGCATATAAGCTTCCTTGAAACAATTTGGAACAATATCTAAGACGGATTAAATCTCGTTTACGCGTTAATAACGCGAAACATGTCGCGCGTTTATTGTCCCAAATTGGCCGAATCGACAATCTTTAAACCCCCGTAACTTTACGAAAAATGATCACAGGTGTAATATCTTTTCAAATTTGAGCTCAGGACAACAATACTTTTCAAATGATATAAAAAAATTCCGCCAAAAATGACTTAGTTAAAAAGTCGAAATTTGTCTGAAGAAAAAAAACCCACCTGAGCACAAATTTTCCGTTACTTTCGTATCGAAAGTCGGAACAAAAATATGAGTCCAATAGAGAACGAATTACCGAAATATCTAACATGGACTGGTATTTAAAATATAGAAAGTCGAGTTAAGCCTTAAATTAGTGTAGTAAATGCAATACTACAGTAGAGTTTTTCTTTTAGAGCCATATACATCGAATCCAAATACGGAATATTCGATAAAGGTTCAGTTTTCTATGAACCTCTTTAAATTGAAAGCCATGATGATGATGTATAGATTTGTTTAAAGGTTTAAAAGGAACGCATTGGTCAAGTATTCAGCTAAATTCCGGGGTGTTTTTCTTAGTTTAAATCGAATGAAGTTTAATTTTTCTTCTGTTTTCCTGCCAGGTGTCATCACCACTACCACTAATGCACTGGATTATGAGGTAGCGAGTGACGTCATTCTGTACGTGAAAGTGTGTGACTCACAGGGGGCTCCCAACTGCCTCTCGGCCACTGCACTCGTCTATGTCTCTGTCACTGATGTGAACGAATATGCGCCCCAGTTCCTACAGGTTCACCCACTTTATATTCGAGACTCCATAATGCTCTCAACATCTTATTGACAATGCCAAACACAAACCAACGAGATTGTCAACCTAAACGATCTGTTTCTTAATGTAGGAGCTTATAGACTTTGTGGGCTTTTGTAATTATGCCTGTAAAACATTTTGTCAAAGAAAAGCAAATTTTGCCGCTTTCTTTGACCTTAGATTGACTAAAATTATTTTCCAAGCCCTATCTGAACACTCAAGACACTCTGTTTGGCAAGAGTTTCATGCGATGCATCTGAATTTTCAAACACGCTCAAAAAATGACGTTTTAGAGCACTTGTTGGAAGTTTTGGCCAAAAGTCAAAAAATGTTCACCGTGTGCTTCGCCTCTAAATAAGTGTTTAGAGGCACCCAAGGCGCCTCTAGAAAAACTTTAGTGGTGGACTGACTCGCAATGGTTGTAAAATAGTACCAAAGGTCTGTACCAAAGAACAATTTTCGCCCTCCCGGTAAATTCGTTCCTAATTTCTGTCGTGTAAAATTCATGCGTCTGTTTCAGCCCAGTTACAACTTCGAGGTGCGTGAGGACGAACACGTGGGCTTCCAGGTGGGCAAGGCTGAGATCCAGACAGAGCTGAACGAGGAGGGCGTGAACAATCCAGATGACGCCAAGTGTTCCATCACCACTGCCACCACTTACTTCTCCATAGACCCCAACACATGCATCATCACGCTCATCGACACTATTGACAGGTAACAACTGGCATGACAAAGAAGATGTCAACCTTTAAATTCGTTCAGGATACTGCCCCAATACTGGATTTGTTGGTTTGCAACGTACGAATTCATTGTTGCTGCTATCAAACACATTCTAGTTGCGCTCAATTTCATGCCTGCTATATCATGTAACTAAGAGTCTATTGTCTCGAGCACAGAATCTAAACAGCAAATTTAGCTTGTGGAAGCATAAAGTTCCATTACAAAATCGAAACTTACCTCGAGCACAAATATAGAAAAAGTCGGAACAAAAACCGCAGCTGATGAAATGGTGAATATCTTGAGCCACCAGCGGATTTAGGGGCGGGGCGCGGAGGGGGTGGACGCCTCTCCATTCTCAGGGATTCAAACCCCTGCCGACCCCCCCCCCCTTTGTACTACTTTGAGATTTCCATTTTTGACTAACGGACCCTTAAATTTTTCTAAAGGCGCCTGGGACGCCAAAAATACTAATTCTGAGGAGGTAGCCCGCGCCGAAAAACGCAATTTTCTGGTCAAAACTTTCCAAAAAGGCTCTAAAAACGCCTTTTTTGGATGATTTTCCAAAAAACTTCCTGCGTTTCAGAACACCATTTTAATGTGGCACTTGAAAATTGCTTCAAAATATATCAGGTTAAAACTCAAAATTATTTTCGCTAACTTCAAACTTTTGTATGGAAGATTCGGTTGGAAGACTTGTTTGCGTACTATAAAAATATTACAAAAAATCTAAATTTATTTTGCTTAGACCAACCCTAAAAAAAAGTTGCGTGTTAAATATGGTTTCAAACAAAAAACTTTTTACTTGATTTTCAGACTTGAAAATTAACTTGAGTACGTTAAATTTTATGGATGTTAACTCTCGTCTCATTTTTGTTTGTTAGTATTAACCAAAGGAATCGAAAACAATTGCAACCCGTTTATTTTCCTACTGTACGTGCCCTGCTTTTAATCTATCACAATGATAAAACTTTAGAAGAATGGCAATTTGCTTTTTTTTTCCAATTTGTGGTACCTGAATATGCATGGAAAACAAAAAGAAAAAAAGAAAAAACTAAAACACACTTGAATACAAAACTCCTCCCCATTTTCATTGGTCGGAACAATAAAACGGATTCAAATGAGCCTAAGAGTACCAATGCGATCTTCCCACAATTATGGCAAAACTTAAAATGATCTCGCCCACGTTTTGATGATCCGTGACACCATGACAAGAGTTTGGATCTAAGACTTTCAGAATCAGAATTTTGCGATTTTATGTATAACATCGAATCAGGTCGAGATCTTTTAAAAAAATCTATATCTTGCCAAGGTCGTACAAGATCTAGACAAGACAGCCATGTTGCATCTTTAACTCCAATTCACCATGATCTTGGTCAGATTTCCTGTGATCAGAACACCGGGAAGATATTCAGAGCATCCGGTTACTGCCCAAGTGGCACAGAATGCTTCGACCATCGTTATCGTTGCAACTACTATAGTAAAAAAAATAAAATATTTAGGCATATAAGTCAAGTGGTAGCGCTGAATTGTTTCATGCGATAACTTGTGAGATCAAATTTATGGTGCAAAAAAATTCTCATACAGAAAAATCAGATAATATGTTTAATTACCAATTACCCGGGTGGACCTAAAATGCTAATCATACAATTTCCATATATCAAAAATGCTAGTTATACACTTTCACTCAAATTCATAAGTACAGAAAATTGAATGAAAGGTATATGACTAGTATTTTATCATATATGGAAATTGTATGACTAGTATTTTTCCATACACCAAAAACTTGGTTTTCCGTTCAATTTTGTTTTCTCAATATTTTTGCGTTGCGTTCGTATCCGAACGCAAGTGACAAAGACAATTGTTACTCGAAAGTAGAGACACCAAATGTTTGACCGTCTAGCAATTGCCCTGCTCTGAAAACGGCCTCAATTGTCTTAAATAAGTCTTACACAAAAGATAGAGAGAATTTATCAACCTTTTAAATTTAGGCAGAAGTTTTCAAAGCTGATTTTAAAAGAAAATAATTGATTTTTTAATGAACCATGCATGGATCGTGCATACAAAAACATGCCATATAAAATAAATAGGCTTTTGAGCACACTTGTAAAAATTTTATCCAGAGAAATGGAAAAAAAAACTCATTTTTTGTGTTTCTAGGACTACGCTATGCACAAAAATTTGATTTTTTAAGTCAATTTTGACACTAACAAATTTTGCTGTCGCCATAAAAAAATGCTAGTCATAGAAATTCCATATAAGGAAATTGTATGATCAGCATTTTTTGAGCAAATTTTTTTTTTATGACGATACACCAAAATTTATGACAAAAGCAAAAAAAAGTTTCTAAAAATTCGCTGAGGTCATTTTTCCAAGATGAAATTTGTATTAGTAATAAATTTTATAGACTTAGTTTATGGAATTGTATGAATAGCATTTTCGGTCTCTGGAGGTCAACCCGGGTTTTGAACAAACTACTGAAGCTGGGCATGTACTTTCTATTCGTTAATTTTCAACAATTTGTTCCATGCAAACTAATCATCTGGAGGGGTTGAATGATATATCATTTTAGAGACCCTTCAGTCATAAGCCAAAATTTTCAAAACGTTATATATGTTTCTAAAAGAATCAGTTTGAAATTTTTGCTTTTTAGTCTATTTTCGAGCGAGTTAAGCGAGCAAGTAACGTAAGACTTTTTCACTACGATACATTCTTAGCTGTGAGAAATTAGTAGTGAAGCTCAGCTTAGCGATTATATTTGGATAAAAATTACATTATCCATCTGTTATTGTTCCGATTTTCGTATTTGTGCTCGGGTGTTTTTTTCAGACAAATTTCGACTTTTTGACTAGCCATTTTTGGCGGAATTTTTTGTAATCATTCAAAAAGTTTTGTTGCCTTGAGCTTTATTTTGAGAGCATGAGAACTGTGATTATTTTCTGTAAAGCTGAGGGTTTGAAAATGTGGGGAAAAGTTACAGATTGCCACTTTAGCCAATTTGGGACAATTAACGCTCATTATATTTCGCGCTATTAACGGGTAAGCGGAGGTTTAATCAGTCTTATAAATCGTTCCAAATTGATTGAAGGAAGGTTATTTGCCTTGACTGGTTTGTAACTTTGTATGGCATATGGGTGGATGATTTTCCCAAAAAATCTCAAATTAGAAATCGTTTTTCTATCACATTCAATTTTTTGATGTTATTGCTGCTTCATAGACCTTAAAAGGCAGTCTGAACATTCAGGGCTTCGCCCTGATACCAGCGGTCTTGTTAGTGTTTTAAAAATAACTGTATTCAATTGAACCTTTATTTAATTTCTAGGACAATCTGCGTTTATTGGTCTAAATCATGAATAAAAAAGCGACTTAAATTGGAAAAAATGGTAACCGATTTTTTTTTTTTCAAAAATAATTCGGTCCAAATTTTCTCTGCTACTTGCAAGCCGTTAGCATTTGTTTCTATTTGACATTTTTTAATTAAAGGGAGACTGTAGCGTCTGAGACTCTGACAGTGAGGGCGGAGGATGCGAGTGATTCCACCAAATTCTCCACTGTGACTGTCACCATCTCAGTCAGCGATGTGAATGACGTCACGCCTTCGTGCACAGGGGGTCCCACCTACACACCCTACTACATCAACGAAGAACAGAATGGTAACTGAGAGGATACATATTGGTTTAACATTCTATTTTTGGAAGTATTTGGGTTTTGAAGTATTTATTTAGTATCTCAATTCTTACAAAAAGTAATATTAACTTCTTACCAAAAGATTGACGGTTTGCTGAAACTAAACTCGATTGTAGCGATTAAAACAAAGCCGGCCAATTTTTGCTCTAAAAACTTTTGTGCTTAAAATTGCGATCAAATGATCGCTACATGACACAACAACGGTGTCAATAAGCTTCAGTAACCAACTTGCTTGAAGTTTCAGTGAAAATTTTGATTTCTAGGTGTACTGGTAGAGGACGTCTCTCTGACCACTGACATATGCATCATCTGCACTGACACAGACGCCACTGCTCCCTATGACATGAACAGTGTCAAGTACGAGATCATTTCCATAAATGGAGACCCGGGAGACGACAGCTTCGCACTGGACTACACACAGGGTGCATGTCAGTTCGGAATCAAGTCCAATCGACTGCTGAGTTACGAGGATGGAGTGCACGAGTTCCTAGTTCAGGTACTCATCCTTTTTGATGACCCTTTTTTGAATTGAAAATAATCAATTTTAATTTTATATGAGAAAGAAACGTTTTGTTGCTGTTCTGTAATTTTGAGAAATCTTTTTGTAATTGAAGTAATCTGAGTAAACGACTTTATACAAAACTTAGATAAGTCGGCTTTTACCGAAGTTCTAAAGTTTTAACTTACCTTTCAAACGTTGCAAGGTGTCGCTTTCCCTAAACTTTTGTTGCTAGTTGTCGCGGTACTCGTTGTCGTATTTCTCTACATTGATTATCAAGTTCAGTTAAGCTAGTGTCAAATTTTTTTCTGAGGGTACCTGTATTTAGGACTTTAGCTCTTTTTTTCATTCAAAGCAAAGAATGAGAGCTATGCAATTATAGCGTACCGACTAGAATAGTGGCATGTGCTAGTCAGCATTTTAAATTCATCTCTATGTGCAATCAATTCACAATAGGTGAAGATCACGGACAATTCTGGTCTGTTTCCCGATGCCCTCTCTTCGACAGTGTACATCCCAGTGAGACTGAATGACGTCAACGAGGATGACCCCTCCTTCATCACTCCCCCCACTCCAGCCTCATTCACCATCACTATTGATGAGTCCATGCCCAGAGGGGCTGTATGTAAGTGGTCATATTGAGTTATAACCGCTGTGGTTAACTCATAGAGTAATTTCGGATAGGGTACACCGTCTGCTCGTCACGCTATCTTATTTTCGGCCGGATAGATTCGTGCAATTTCTTAGTCTAATACCGATCCTAATCTTACTCTTATACTATCTAGTCTCAGGTTGTTTAACTAGTCTCTGCTAGGCTCAATAGATCTAGGGTATACTGGTTTATTGCGGCTGCTGAAGTTCTCTTGGAGAGGCAACTAATTTCTAAGTTAAATTCAAATCTCTCTGGTGCTGAAATTACAAGTAATTTCAGCACTTACAAATAAGTGGGTTGTTAGTTAGATGGATCATGATTGGTTAATATTAAATACTTTACAGTGGTAAAATATCTAATTTATCCAATCATAAAATGTAGTTTAGATCAGGTTCCACCCATCCGGGTTTTACAGAGTTTTTAGAATTGTCTTTCTGCAATTCAAAGGATGGATGATGGACGTTGGTATTTGGCGAACATCATATTTCTTCTGGGTTCTCTTGTTAGAGAAGTTCCAGGATCAGTCGTTGTGTCTTCTTATGACAACGACTGGGTTTTCGCAACAAACTCAAATCTGATTTCAGAATGGTTGGCTATGACAGGTTTTTCTGTTTCATGTAGAGAACTTCTTTTGTGTTTGACGTTGTCTGGGAATGGCGTGGAGATTGTGCGTGGAGGGGATGCCTGGTTACTCGGATCTGTACGTATACTTGAACATCGAGGTGGTCATTGGTCTAGTTCAATGAAGTCCTTTTCTGCAAAGTCAAGTCGTACTCTAAATCTTTTGAGTTGTGATTGTGGACGGCATATTGATTGTGGTTAGCCATTCTTTTTCGAGTGTAGTGGGGTCATTTTGTCTTTGGATGTTCGTCTTTGGTGTTGTATGCTGATCTATATACTGCAAGGTATAATTTACTTTTTATAAAATTTTTATTAGTTCAGTGTTTTAATTATGATTTTGGTTATTTATTTTCACAAAAGCTTTTTGTTTTAGTTCGGTTATTTTGAAGAGTTACTCACCCTTGAGTACCTCTTATTAAAAATAGAAGTGTGGTCACAAAGCGTGGATGTAGCGCGGTGGGTTAGGCCGGCTATAGAGCATGCTCAGGACGTCCTCTCTGGTTGGTTAGGCCAGGAGTGGGAGTATGATTTCGTGCGGTTTCTGTGAGAGGTCCTGTTATGTGATAACGTTTTATGTCGGGTTTGTGGTGGTTTTTCTTATGTTTCGTTGGTTGTGTCCTTTTTTCAAAAATCAAATTGTTTTTGGTATGGTTTGTCTTTCGACTTTTTTGTGTTTTATTATTTCTTTCTTAGACTTTATAATAGTCTTCAAAAGAATAATTTATCCAGTTTTAAACTGGGTTAATCCGGTTTGGGTACCGTTGGTTTCCTTTTCTTAGTCATGCTGTTATTCTATGTGTTGTGGTGTTTAGTAAGCTGCGTTAGTTAGTTTTATTTAGTATATAATTCCTTTCCAACCGGGTTAAAGGAAAGTTTGAAACTTGTTATCGTGTGTTAGAGTTGTTGAGTGTGAAAACTTAAAACTGAAATTCATTATTTAAACAATTCTTCGTGGGCGAGCTGTGCGAGTTTGGATAGAATTCTTGTGCGAATGAATGAAAATATCAAAAGGTTAGTACTGCACTTTCGTCTTATCAATTTACTACATACAATTTCAATTTTACTGCTAGTTTTGGGGAAAAATTAAGTTACAAATTTTCATCATTATTAGATTTACTGCTTGTGGGGAAACAATTTATAAATTAATTTACTACATTGGTATGAATTTTATTTAATTTAGCTGGTGCAAAATATTAATATAGTTTTGAAGAGTTTGAAGAAGTTTTCTATTTTTTTTTCTTTTGTGTTTTTTGCAGATGATCGTGGGATGAAGACTAAAAATCTAAATGAGACATGGATAAAGAATGGTTAGTTTTCAATTTGAATTTATTAGTGAAGAATATGTATAAATTATACTTACCTGTTAGTCGTCGGGGAAAAAACCGTGGGGGAAGATGTCGTGTATTATGTCGGAATTTGTTAGTAATTTTGCTAGTATGCGAATGATGTTTTTAGTTTGAAGCAGTGGCCAAAGCAATTGAAGTGCTTTAATGGTTTTTAGTTCTTCAGTGCCAACTGCAAACTCATTAGGTGTGTTTTGGATGAGATTATATAATTTGTGATTGTATTTAGTGTTGTGGATGAATTCTAATATTGGGATTTCTATAGGTTGAATAAATTCATGTGGGATAAGGAAGGGTCTGGATTCTTCTGCATTAAGGGTCTTCGTGATGGGACAAAAAATATACGTTTGGGTTATGGGATCATAATTGCGAAGAATACCGTGAAGGTTAGTATCTTTGATGCAATATGTGAAGTTAAGGAAAAATGGTGAAGTGTATTTAGAGTTAATAAACTGAAAACGGTGGTGTGGTTGTCTTGATGGAGTGTGCAGGTCAAAATAATTTTGTATGAAGCGATAGTATGTATATGCGTGGGTTTGTTTAGTGCGTAACATAATGTCGTGTGAGCAGTGCAAATCGCGTTCATGTGGTGCAAGCAAATTAAAGGTTAGTGAAAATAATTGAAATCTTTCTTTAAAACTTTCGTAAGCTTGTGTGTCGGTTAGTGCTTCAGAAATGACGTGGTCGAATTTGCGATCAAATATATTGAGTGTAAATACATATGGTGTTTTGATGAAGAATTTTTCTGTGATTTGTGGGTTAGCGAAGCGATCATCATCTAAAAATTGGTCTTGGTTAGCTCGGATGATGTTATGATCGTAATATTCTAGCGTATATTCGTTAGCTCGGGGTGCAGTGTATGTTTTTAGTGACTTTTTATATCCTATATAAGTAAATTGTCTATGTGTTAGTGGTGTGGTGAGTCGGTATAGCATATCTTGATTTCTTTCTATATCGATGTGAGTATTAGATAATGGTAGGCAAAGGGGATTAGTAAAATGATAATATGATGTCCAATGAAGTGTAGGCATTAAAACATGTTCGTCTACATAGCTACGTGTGTTGTTAGTGTCATGAGGGGTGTTTAATGTTTACTGTGGAAATGAAGGTAAGGGTGATTGTTAAAAAATCTTTCGTGTTCGTGTGATTTGGATGATTAATATATTCACGGGCTGTTCCTGGTTTTGTTGGAAATGGATGGTTTGGGAATTTTCTTTTGAAAGTGCGGTAAGCTCTATTAGTGCTATTTGATGATTCGGTGGGTGTGGATGATGGTGCTAATGATGCGGTATAAGCTGAAGAGAGTGTAGGGGTAGGTGGGTTTGATGATTCTATTGTGAATGAAATCTGATTGATAGTGGGGGTGTCAAGGTGGAAGGGTTGTTGTTGTAGGGTGATAAAATTATCTTGTTCTTGGGAGATTTGGGGAGTATCTGGAGAATTGGATGATCGGTCTGAATGAAATGAAGAGTAGGTAGGGGTGACTTGGGAAGCGTAAGAGGGTGTAGAAATGGATGGGAGTGGGTTATTTGGTGGGATTTGTTGAAAAGGGGGTGTTGAAAAATTTGAGGAGTTGGTTTGAAAATTATTGGATGGAGTCGGTTCAGAGTCTGCAAATTCATCAGGGGTTTCAATATTAGGGTTATTGGGTTGTGAAATGGAGTGTAAAACTGAGATATGTGAATTAGTGTCTGAATTCATGCCTGATGTTATATTACTAGATGGGAAATGGGGTGGCGGGAAAGCAAAAAGTGGAATTATTGTAATTGGAGTGTTGAGATTGGTTGGGTGGGAATTTGAGCGGTGTAGGGATCCAAGTTGTCGGCTCATCGTGGGCTAAAAAAATTATTATTTTGAGACTGAAAAGCGGTGGTATGGGGTTGTTCTATAATTTGTTCATATGTATTTTCATCTTGTGAATGATGTGTCATTATATGTTGAATGGGACTTTGTGATATGGTTGGTCTGAAATTTGGATTATGTGTTATTGCTAAATTTCGAAAATGTCGTGGGACTAGGGATAATGGATGGTTATGTGGTAGGGGTGGTAACTGTGGTGCTGTAGGCGTTATTTCTACATTGTTATATTCTTCGTCGTATGTGTTTTGTCTTGTTGCTATTTTTGTGTTGTATTCTTTTATTTGTGCGTCTAAAATGATTTTGTTTATTGATGATGAAAAAATTCCAAAGAATCCTGCAAATAGTATGCGTGCTACACTTGCTTGTCTATTGACTTGTGTGTGTATAGCACATGTGTTATAGATTCCTTTTAAGAGTGAAAAAAGAAATCCTATAAAGTTAAACATTGCGTATAGAATAGTCAACTTTTCTAAGATGTAATAGGGCCATCCTAGAAAATCAAGAATTTCATTTTTTAGTGTAACAAAGCTAAAAATATTTATAGGTGAGATATCTTGTGGTCGGTATTTTTCACCGTTTAGATATATATAGTCTTTAATGTCTTTAAAATATCCGCTATAATCTTGTGTATAGATATCTGCAAATCCTGCGGTTCCGGCAAGTTTGCGTAAGTTTTGGTCAATTGATTGTCTTTGTATAGTGTCCATTTGTGTTAATAATTCTTGGAATTGTTGTGTCCTAATGTGATGTTGGATATCGGATTTTGAATATATTCCAATTGATTGTAAGTCGATATTTGGGTTTCGAGCAATAGCTCTAATGCTTTCTGGTGAAAATTTTTTGAGTGATTGCATTAATGTGGGGTATGGGGTAAGAAGGTAATATTTATCTTCATCAGGGTTCAGTTGTACTACATTGTGGCTATTTTCTGATCCACATGGAACTGCGGTATCTCAGAAATAGGTTCGTGTTGAAAGTGTGTCAACGAAATGTACTTTATTCTTATAAAAGATAGGGATTCTTTTATAGCATCGTTTATCTTCAAAAACATATAGTGGTGATACTTTTTTGGTACAGGTATAAAACCATAAGATGTTTCCTTCTTAATCTAAAAAATTTGATCTATTTCCTGATAGTAAATATCCTGCG